AGCTGACGTTTCTATTCAATTTCACTTATTTTTCGAATTAAGTATTGTTTTCGTGACTACCAGTAAATCATTAGTATGAGATGCATTCACCCAATTTCGTTTAAGTTGTTGATAAGACCGATGCGAGGTCAAAACTGCAGTCCACTGGTGCCTAGATGTGAAAAACTTTTGGGAAAGCAAGGCCGTGTGAACTTGAATGGAAACGTCAGCTCAACTCATATCTTTGTGGAAAAATTCTTCTTCTACCAGTCCTTCATCAATTTAAACGAAATTGGTTGAATACATCTCAAACTACTGATTAACTGGTAGTCACGAGAACAATACTTAATTCGAAAAATAAAGTATATTAGTCGATTGCTATAGCAAAACATACGTTTGCTTTATCAACAATCCCACCAAAGAATATGATATGGCAAAAAAGCCTGGCCTCCCTTTAAAATTCACATTTGCTATGTTATCCAAAAGGCTCTCGTGGCAGTATAGCCGAGTTGTTAGTGTGTCAAGCTCTCATCCTGTACTGTCGCGGTTCGACTTTCGCTGAGGGTGTTGATGAGACCAGTTGATGCGAGGTCGAAACTGCAGTCCACATCAGCTGGGATGAGAACAACTTTTGGGAAAGTAAATTGAATGGAAACGTCAACTCAACTCATATGATTGTGGGAAAATGCTTCTGCCAATCCTTCATCACCTTAAACGTAATAGGATGAATACATCGCATTTAACTAATTTCCCGGTAGTCTCGAAATTCTATTTATATACCAAATACCGTTTTCAAATGGTCTGTAATCTGCATGGGGCAATAAAAAATTCAGAAAAGCAAACAAGCATTCTCTTCAAGTCTGCTTAAAACAAGGCCCTCTATTAGTCCAGCAACCCCATCATAAGCTGTAGCATATTGACAACGTAATTTTTCGTTTCATAATTATATTTTCTAGACTACCAGTAGATCTGATATAAGAGTTGTATTACCCCTTATTAGTTAAAGTTGATGAATAATTGGTTATTGAATTTTTCCATAATTTTATGAGTAGGTCTCATCTTTCCGTTCGATTTCACATAG